GGGATGAGAGTGCTTGCAGCTCAGTTCAGGTTAGGGTCTCAGGTTGCTAGGTGCATTGTTCAGAATGGGTTGTGTGTGGGTAGTACATGAAGGTAAGGGCTGTAGGCTGCCAAGAGCGCTGCTTAGAGGGGGTGGCATGATTAGCTCCCACAAGTAGCCCCAGGTTGATAGGTATCCCCAGGCAAGTATGCATCATTCTTATTTATTACCCCATTTGTTTTATTGGGAATACTCCTAGACTTTGGAACATCTACAGTGAGTGCTAATAGATAGTCTCAAGTCCACACCTGGAAGCACTGTCCAAGTTCCTGTCCACAGGCAGCTGGAACAACTGCTTCAATGTCACTGAGATGCTGGCATATGAAAACACTTCCTTGAGTAGGTATACTCTATTGTTTTATTAAAGCAATAGAATATTTTAATTATTTTGTTTTTTTATAGCAGAATAAATATGTGTACTATCACCTTGTTTTTTTGTGATTTTAAAGATTACTTATTATTTTAATAAATAATTACATAGTAACATTATTAACCTAAAAGTGGTTATTTTTCAAATTATTTTCCTCAATGTTTCTGAAAAGAATATATATATATTTTTGGTTTTTTGAGACAGGTTTTTTTTGTGTAGCTTTGCGCTTTTCCTGGATCTCGCTCTGTAGCCCAGGCTGGCCTCGAACTCATAAAGATCCACCTGCCTCTGCTTCCCGAGTGCTAGGATTAAAGGCATGGACCACCACTGCCTGGCTGAAAAGAATATTGATCTTTATGTTTTGATTATATTTATTTTGTGGGAGAAGCACATATGTGGTACAACATATGTGTAGACTTTAGAGGATAACTTAGAAAAATTGGTTCTGTCCTTCCGCCATGCGGGTCCCGGGATAGACATAGGTCGTCATTTGGTGGCAAGCACCTTTCCTGCTGAACCATATCTCAGGCCCATACATAGCTCTTTAAACAGCTAATTTTTTCTCACTGTTTTTTCAAGTAATTTAGGGTAAGTTTTCGAGCCTTATTTTAGGTCAACTTGGGAAGCTAAGATTGTCAGACAGTTGCAATGGGGCTTCTGTCGCCTCCCTCCTTATCTGGAGATGTTTTCTGTTCAGTGTTGGGATGCTGTGATCGGAGCAGATTTATGAGTTATGTTTATATGTTCCCATTGCTCTTATAAAATTAACCATTCAACTCATTTTTTCTCTTTAATTTTATTTGGTGTGTCATAAATTTTGCATTTTGGTATGGTTTTAAATTGTTTGATCTCTTTGTTGTTACTCTCAGTTTCCCTGAGTCATTTGAGTTTGGGCTGTCCTTCATGGAAGACGTGATTTCTAACGTTTGGTTTGACAGCCTTTCCTTTTCATTGCTAACCTAAATACACGTACATTTGTTTATGTCTTGACTCATCAGACTAGTTTTGTATTGGTCTTAACCTCAAGGGTTGTTTTGTTTTGTTTTAGTGTTTAACTGCACACATCTTCTTGAGTTTTGCATCCTTCAGATATCTTCAGGGTCTACATCCTACTGTGAGACCAAAATGAGCCATCTTAGAAATAAGACCAAAATGCTTTCACCCAAAAACTAAGGCCTAAGATTTCTTCTTCTAGGAATAGGCCAATAGTTAATGAAACAAGTCAGTCCAGATTCCAGAAACCAGGAAGTGTAAAAGTACAGAGTCACAAGGTAGTCACATGGTAATGACTGCTGGACTATAGAATGTTCCAACCCTGGTTTCCAGGGTAACTGACCATAAAAATGTCCCCAGCTGAGGGCAGCCAATGGGAAATGGTGGTGGGTAACCAACCGCTCCCTTAGAAGTAAAGTTAAGCCATTATTTCTAGAAAGCCCCTAGAAGCGAGCCAATCAGAATTGTATCTGTACTAGCACCCCTAAATGATGTAACCTTGTGATTTTTCCCTTTAAAAACTGAGCTTGCAGACAGGCGGGCACTTCTTCCAGCCTCCACTGTGTTGGATGTATTGGACGAAGTCCCTGCTTAGGCTTGGATATCCAGAATTAAACCTTGCTTTTGCATTCCGGCATGCTCATCTTTGGTGATCTCTCTGGGGGTCATGATCTGGACACAACACTATACTAGTTACGTCAGTGATTGTTTTAATGTCTGGTTGTAAATTCCATTTCTCTAACTTTTTTTTTATAACTTTTTTAGATTTATTTATTTATTTATTTTAAAGATTTATTTATTTATTTATTTATTTATTTATTTATTTATTTATTTATTTATTTATTTATTTACTATACAGTGTTCTGTCTGCACACACCCCTGCAGGCCAGAAGAGGGCACCAGATCTCACTACAGATGATTGTGAGCCACCATATGGTTGCTAGGAATTGAACTCAGGACCTTTGGAAGAACAAGCAGTGCTCTTAACCTCTGAGCCATCTCTCCAGCCCCTTATTTATTTATTTCTTAAGCATACAGTATTCTGTCTGCACATATCCCTGCAGGCCAGAAGAGGGCACCAGATCTCATTACAGATGGTTGTGAGGCACCATGTGGTTGCTGGGAATTGAACTCAGGACCCTTGGAAGAACAAGCAGTGCTCTTAACCTCTGAGCCATCTCTTTAGCTCCATTTCTCTAACTCTTTGCCTGCATCATTTTCACATACTTGTTCTTTGTCCACAGTCTGCAAGCTTTCCTCAATTTCCTCTCTTACCTCTGATGTAAAAGTTCTCACTGCCAACTGTCTGCTATTAGCGCTCTTTGTGGAGCAGATAACCTATCTACCAAATGATGGCAGTTCTCCATCAGCTTCTGAGTTCAAAAGCTCCGGTGTGGTGGTTTCTCCACCACCTCCCCCACATTAAGAAAGCTCCCTGTTTATTCCAGCCAGAAGTTTTGCTTGCTTACCTGTTTGTTTCTGGATTTATGCGTCCACCACAAGCCCTTCTATAAGCTTTTACATGATGTTTGTTTCGTTGGTAGGTGATGATTTTATGATCCAAATCAGTACAATTTTTTTTTAGGGAGTTGGGACAGATTTTTATAGATTTCTCTCTAAGAGAGGGTAGTCTTGTGAGCAGTGGCCAAGAACAGACTGTTTGCTCATCATTTCCTAACCAATCAGTGCCAAGCTTCCTCCCAGCTCTGAACTGCCAGTGAAGGTCTTGTCTTATTTTTACTAATAATTAAGCATGAATAAGGCCCGCACACAGCCATGAAGGTTGGTGGTATTTCAGGAAGGATTCCTCCAGGTGACATTGAGGGATGGAGCCTAGGTTACACCCAGGGCCTGCAGGGCTCATTTCTGCAATCCCTGGCTCTGGCTGAGACAGACTGACTTTAAAATCCACAGTCACCACAGGAAACCGCTCCAACCCTTTGTCTACACCTTGATCCAGAAGCTTTGCTGTCCTATGTCATGCGACAGTGAAGAAACACAGGGAGATTGGAGGTGTTTATGTGGGTAACGGTGTGATGGGACACTATTGCCCGTTTACTGCACTACCTAGCTCTGTGCTTAACTGTATGTATGAGGCCTAAGCACTGTGGATTGTGTTGCATCCTCCCACTGTAAGTGAGAAAATTCAGTGTGCAGAGGTGAAGTGAGTCCGTCCACTCCACACACTCGCTGGTCGCATTGCCATCCACTTGCGTCATATTCTTGATAGTATAGTTCCTAGTATGTCTGCTGAACACGTTTCTAAAGTCATATTTAGAACCATCTGCGAGACTGCTTGGGGAAATGTTGAAGGTGACATTCTTCCTGAAGAACAGGAGTGAAATCTTCATGATATCAAAACATGCATCTGTGAAGCCAGGTGGAAACACAGGCACTTCCGTGTCTCAGTCAACAGGGATACAGGGACATCACGTCTCATCAAACCGTTGCTTTTCTGAACGTGATCTGCTCAGTTGTTTTCTAACTTCTGGCTACACTTGTCTGTAGCTACTGACTCCAGCCTTCATGCCCCATGCTGTTAGCGATTCTGATGGAGATTTTCACTTCTCAAGCACTAAATTGTGCTAATCTGTGAAATAATAGAATGTGCTAAGTGGCACACAGCATGGTGTTTTCACATAATTCTTTTAAATGCTTCATGTCTTTGACAAATATTAATGGAATGCTAGTTCCCCATTAGAGTTTTTTCCAGTTTATTATTATTTTTTTTTTTTATATATATAAACTTGGGACTGTAGCTTCCCTGGAGGGGTCTTCAGGACCCATTTTCGGGAGCAGCTGGTACTGAAGAAAACACTATAACAAAAATGCTGTGTGCTTCTAAAAATAAGAATAGGTTTCTAGGCATGGGGGCACACGTCTTTCATCTCAGACTTTGGTAGGCAGAGGCAGGTTGTGTAGACCATCCTTATCTAGTCTACACAGTGAGTTCCAGGCCAGCTGGGGTTACATAATGAGCTAAGTAGAGAGGCCTCAGCCCTGGTAAGTCCGTGGTTGCTTGTGTGTTGTGTGCATTGTAACGGAAGTGCACAAGACTGCCTCTCACCCCCCAGAGTCCCTGTGTGCTCGTTGCTGCAATGGTGGGTCTTCATGGTCAACTTCACTCTATTTGGAGTCCCACTGAAGACTGAAGTCACACCTCTGGATATGTCTGTGAAGGTGTTTGCAGAAGATTAGCTGAAGGGGGAAGACCCACCTAGCATTATAGTGAATATAGTGAAGTGTCCAGGTGTGGAAGAGCCCCTCTGTGCATGCAAGGATCAGCACAGGATTGGGACTGCTCAGCCTCTGATGTCCTTGCATGTGGGCATCTTATACCATGCTCTGGGAGACCAGAAGAATAACAGGAGAGAAAGAGACAGCACAAGATCACCATTCTCCATCTTCTCCCTCCTGGCCTGCTGTGATGTGAGCTGAGTGTCTCCATCACACTCTCTCCACTGTGAGGGATCAAATGCTCCAAAATTATGAGTCCATATAAGTATTTCCTTCCTGAACTTATTTCTGACAAATGTTTTGGCCACAATGCCACACAAGGTAACTAAGAACCTGACAGAACATGAAATAGCTGTGTATTGTTTGGTAACATCATAAAGCCTTGGGAAGGCTCTCAGAACAGCAGGACTTGGAGCGAGCAAAATCTCTCACCTGTAGGTCCTGGAGCAATGGATTCAGTTTTCTTTCAAAGCAGGTTTCTCTGTACAACAGAAAAGTAATTGCACCCAATTTTAATACTTCCAATTGGTTGAAGTTTAATCTCATTAGTACCTGAATAGAGCAGTGTTTTGAAACACTTCACTGTTGTTTCTGCCGATGTTAGCATTTAAAATATTTGATTTTTTTTTTGAAGGGCGTCGTATGTTTATTTGATAGTAGGGTTTTAGAGCTTTCTATTTTGTGTTTTGGTTTGTTAAAAGCTTATTTTTATGCTAATAAGTTCTGGTGAAAACAAATGAAAGAGTCATTTGTACTTCATAAAGTGCTTAGTTATATCAACTTTTCAATTGATCAGTTAAATTTCAACATTAAACAATCACTAAATAAATATTTACTGTTTAAAAATATGCTCTATGGACTTAAGACATTAAAATCCTATCTATAGCCACACATTTATTAAAAACATATTCAAAGACATTTAGACTCTTAATTACATTCCACTAAAAACCCTACTTAAAATAATTTTAGCAACTCCATTTGTTTATATACTTACTGTTAGAATTCCTAGCCACTCCCCCAGCTACATGACCACAAATGCACTGTCCAGCAGCCAGGCAAGATGCTTAGTCATCCTAGGGCCTTCTGTCCTAATAATTCATGGGCTGTGTGATCACATAATCTGTGCACAGTATGGTCATGCAATCTATGCACATGTGTGACATAAGCCCATATGCGCACGTGGGGCCGGGTAACCTATAAAAATCATTTCCACCTATTCCTTCCCTCTCTTCCTGCACGGTCATTCCATAGGCCGATGCACACCCCTTCTATTCCCTTCCCTTAATAAACTCTTATAGTGGGTTTTGTTGTGCTTCATGGCTTCTCTTGCATGGTAAATAGTGCTGCCTAATAAATAACATTTTGCCTCTTAATAAATAACACTGTCACTGTTTTTACTCTTTTTCAGCATTATCTTTCCATCATCTTAGCGAAGTTCCCTATATACAATGAAGAATAAATATTGTCTAGGGCAGGTCAAGATCTCAAGATCTTGG